CATATTTTAGTTATTTTAATGTGTGAACATGGCATGCAATGAACTGGTTTGACGTGGATAAGTAAGCACCTGAAGATGGCATTATTATGCCGAAACATGTAGTGCGAGGGAGAGAAGGAGATAAATGAGTGTATGCACTGTAAGACGGATTAAATAAATCATGGACTTAAATCAGTGCAACAGGACGCTAAAATACAACATCAATTTCTATAATTAAAAATAAATACCCCCTTTCACAAACATACCATCTTTAATTTAACATATATTCCTCTACAGAACAAAACGTATGTTGTATATCTCCATAATTTTATTTGGTATTTTATTGTATAATTTTATTCCCATGTTCAGTACTCCTCTCTTATAGGCATTTGTTCTGCAAAACTGAGAATGGAGATTTAATTTCTGGCGTGTGTTGTGATTATGAACTACGTTATTTTGTTCTAACTTCTCTAAATCTAGTTTCACATGGCATACTATTCCAAATATATACATACAAGGTAGTGGAAGTAAGTTTAAATCCTTAAAAAGTTGTCTACATGATGCTAATCTACTCACACCACTAATTATTCTAACAATTCATTTCTGCAATTTAAATATAATTTTACTTTTTGGGTCGCTACCTCAGAAAATTAAACCATACTTCAAATAAGCATGGAAGTGAGCAAAGTAAATACTCTTTAAAACATGTCAGCTTGTTACATCCCTAAGGGATTTTATCATGTAACAGGCTTTGTGAAGTTTTGAGCTTGAGAACATAATATGTGCTTTCCACTCCATATGCTTGCCAACATGTATACCTGGAAATTTCATTTCACATTTATAGGAGATCTCCATTTTGCCAAATTTGATTTGAGGTTTCATCAGATCTCTTTCTTGTCTGTTATGAAATGCCATTGCTATTGTTTTCTCAGTATTCAATATAAGATTATTTGCATTGAACCATCCATATAACTCATTCATGACTTTATTTATCTTTTGCTGCAGGATATGTCCCTTCTCAGCTGTTACCAAATATTTATATCATCTGCAAACAAAACTGTGCTCGCCTCTTTGATATTCAAAGGCAGATCATTTATGTATAATAAAAATAATAATGGTCCAAGCACTGAACCCTGTGGTGCTCTGTGTTTAATTTCTCTTGAAGCCAATATATATTTTTTGCCACCACAGTTTATTTCAACAACTTGCTTCCGGTAAGCCAAATATGATTTAAACCATAAGTTTGAAACACCTCTAACTCCATATGTTTGTAATTTAGAAAGTAAGGTGTCATGATTTATGGCATCATACGCTTTAGTAAAATCACAAAAAATTCCGACCTGTTTTTCTCTTTTCTCAGCTGATTCCTGTATGTTTGCTAGAAAAGAGTAAATTGCAGTCTCAGTCAGCCTATTCATCCTAAATCCATGTTGGGCCTTTGTTAATATGGCATTTCTTGTCAAAAAGGAGAGTATCCTATTATGCATAAACTTTTCCAAGATTTTCAAGAAAACACTCAAAAGGGATATTGGTCTATAATCTTTCATATCCTCTTGTCTCCCTTTTTATGAAGTGGTTTTACCTTTGCTATCTTAGATCTCTCTGGGAATTACCTGCTTCTAGAGAGGCATTATAAATGTGGGCTAATGGAATTTTAACCGCTTCTATAAATTTTTTAACCACATAATCTGGTATTTCATCGGTACCTGCTGAAAATTTCCCCCTAAATTTCTTCACCACTTCTAATATCTCGTTTTCTGTCACTGGAGAAATAAAAATGGTTTCATTACAGGTATTTATTCTCTGTGGTGTTTTACAGCAGAACATCGTACTATTATTTTGCTTGACAAGCTTTCCTACTATGTCCGCAAAATATAAATTAAACATTTCAGATATACGCTGTGGATTTGCCCCTTTCGTTGTCCTGCACTTTAGTTCTGTTCCCAGTTCCCTTTGCAGGTTATTTCCTAATTCTTTATTCACTATTTGCCACATTGCTCTAGTTTTGCTTTTTGCATTAGCTATATGCCTATCGTTTTCCCTCCTCGTAGCTTCCTTTATTACTCTCTTGTATATCATTCGATATTTATGTATATACTCCTGTTCTTTTCCTGTAAGATTTGTTCTCTTTTGCAAACTATTCAACCAACTCATCCTTTAACTGGACTTTCTTATTCCCTGAGTAACCTAACCTTTCTTTTGTTGTTTACTCTGGTTAAATAATTTTAAGGGGAAAACTATATCAAAGTAATAATTGAAAGTATCCATAAAAACCTTAAATTTCCCATTTACATCAGATTCTAAAAACACATCTTGCCACGATTCTTTGTTTAAAATATATTGCAGTTCTTCCATGCCTCCTTCATTAAACATTCTCCTCCTAACTTTTAATGGTCTCCATACAAAATTCTGAATACATATAGATAATACTTGAGCATAATGATCTGAAAACCCTAGATCCAGTACTACTGATGGTTTTGTATAATTACTATTATTTATAATTATTACATCAATCAATGATTTAGTATTCTTTGTAGCTCTAGTCGGGACATCCACTGTATTTACCAAATTATATACATGCAAAAGATTTTGTAGTTAATTTAATTTTACACTCTGCTGCAAAAATTCATATTCCAGTCCCCACATAAGATTAACTGTTTTACTTTCATACTTCATTTTTTAATTGCTAGTTCAATTTTCCTTAAAAATTCTTTAAAATTTCCATCAGGTAATCTATATATACAAATTACAATAATTTTATAAGCCAACAATTCTATCACCGCCATTTCAAAGTTTTTACCTTATTCATATCTTGGAAATAATTAACTTCTTTTGTTTCTAAACCTCTTTTTACATAAATGCATGCTCCTCCATGGCCACTTGTTACCCTACAGAATGAGTTTGCTAATTTAAATTGCATAAAGTTCATGTAGTCTATTTGCTGCTCTTTTTGCCAATGTAATGTAAAAACATAATACATTTACATAGCTCAACTCGGTCTGCAGTACAACATCTAGTTCTAACACTTTATTTTTAAGACTTTGGACATTTTGATGAAGGACTGATACTACATGACTGTGGCTGGTCTTCTCATTAGAAACCATAATTCTACGTGTATTTACACTCCCTTTAAACTGCTTGTCCATAAAAAATAAATTGCCTTATATTCATTTCCTGACATTACTCTACAGTTGTCATTTTCCACAGTTCTTACTAACCGTAGAGACTTGTTTTAGCATCAGTAATTCTTATCTGCATTACCTCTGCATACCAACTCTCTTCTACCTTCAGACCTCAAGTATGCATATATGAATTCCATAGAAGTGGCACATTGTTTCTGCAACACAGTTTGTTTGTAACTCTTGTTACAAGCCTGACATATATGAATAAGTGAACTTCTTCAGGTTTGTATTAGTGAGGGGGTCACTGTCTAGAATTATTACAACTTAGCAATTTTTAATTGAGTGGATTGTTGTGTTGATGTATATTTCAGGTGAGGACAGTACTGGGGTTGAAGGAATTGGCAGTTCCTTGCGTCAGCAGGATGTAAGCCTCCATCATCAGGCATCATCAGACACAACTGCGACAATACCTGAGGAGGATGCGGGCACTCTCAGTGAAGGGGACAGTGCCCCCCCATCTCCCACAACTGCTACTATACAGCTTGACAGTGGTGGTCCAGCCTGGCGAGAAGTAACAGTGTCAGGTGGAGAGTGAGTTACTCCTGCAGTTCACTTAATCACTCCACAATGGTATTGCCAGGAGCAGCTGAAGCCCCACCATAGATGTTGAGTTCCGTATCATAATCTTCATCCTAGCTGCCTTTGACACCCACATGCGGTGAGGAGTTGGTCTCCCAGAAATGTTGTTTACTAGGTTTTAGTTTCCTGTGTACAAAGGAGAACGTACGTGCAGGAACTGACATGTCATTGCTGCTGACCAGAACTAACTTTGGAATGGAGAATTATGGGCAATAGAACTGTTCATATAATTCTGATGAGACAGTTGACTGCAGGAATATCTTCCACGTTATGAAGGTTAAGTGACTGGGGACCAGATTGAAGCAGAGTATATTGATTGATCAGTGTCTGCATGCCATCTGGGTCCGCTCAATTCTGACTGAAGTGAATAAAGTAATATTGTGTAATGTCTTAACTGCTACAGCAAAAGGTCTAAACTCATGTTTTATATCATAGATAGAACATTTATCAAGAGGGAGGGGCGTGCAGATGTAATAATTTTAATGAAAGCTTGCATGTTTTATTTTATCTTAAATATTGCAGGTTTCTTACTGAAATAGCAATAGAGCTGGTGACACCTATTTTTAGCTTTTGTACTACGACTTGGGCAATGCAGTTGCCATTTTTAATCTCCATTTGTTTCTATAAAAACATATTGTTGGCAAGGGCAGAGAAAATAAAGGCACCCCCCTCCCTGATTTTTTAATTTCTGCAGGTGGAACGTTGAGTTCAGACCAGTGCAGGCTTCAGAAATATATAAATAAACACACAGAGAAGTATGAAAAGTTTAATTGTGGAAGTAAACCCTTCTTAAGTCTCCTTCCTGAAGCATCTCACATTTTTCCTCAGTGGAACACAAACACAGCGAAGTCTCCTCATTATTAACTTAACAGTCTGACATTTTTCACTTTCTTTGAGTTCTTTGCACAAAATACATACTTGAGTTCATACGTGTCTCTGCATTTTTCTTCAAAATTGTGTGACTAAGTCAGATGAAATTGATTATTGGGGAGGTAAATGTTAAATTTGTGAGGTAAATTTAATTTTGGTGCATACCAGTCAGTCATAACCACTGCTCTACATACAGCCCAAATTGAACTCTGTATATCAGATTTCTCAGAAGTAGCGTGTTGTTCATATATTTAATATGTCATTAAGCACTATGGCATATTTTAATCATTTCTTGGTATGGTGAATATGAAACAGAACAAGAGAAAATAAAATTTCTGATCCTGTGCAGTTTGTATCTCTAACATAATTATCTTTGAAGAAAGCAGTCTTCTGGGATTTGGCACCGTGTATATGTGGTGTTAACCGACGTTTCGGTGGAACGTATCGCCTCCATCTTCAGGGTAGAAGAAAAAGTATAAGAAATCTGCAAGCGACAAGACCGTGAGAACGGTCTGCTTTTACCGTTCTCACGGTCTTGTCGCTTGCAGATTTCTTATACTTTTTCTTCTACCCTGAAGATGGAGGCGATACGTTCCTCCGAAACGTCGGTTAACACCACATATACACGGTGCCAAATCCCAGAAGACTGCTTTCTTCATAGTCACCGCCATGAAAGCCTCAAATCTTACATAATTATCTTTGTGGCAGTAGATTTTGAATAACAGTAAATAGACAGTGGGATGGAATCCAAATTGGAAAGAAAGCCTTTAGAAAATTCCTTGAGGTTATAAGCCTATATTAAGGATGTTATGTCTCACCAGTACCCAGAGTTGTTGTTGTTGTTGAGTTTCTTTGTTTGCTTTTAATAAATGGTAATGTTGGTTACATTTTATTGCATTTTTCATCTAAGATAAGGCTTGAAAATAGATTGGTTGTGGGACCTGGCCAGAAGTAGTTTCAATTTTTTGTTATGGTAAGCATTATCAGTCTTTCTTACTTTCGTGTATCTGTAGTATATATGAGAAAGTACTGTGGCCATGAAAAATAATGGTCTGGGGATTTTGATGGATTGTAGCCGTTTTGTCTCTGGCCTCCCACTTCGGCTCTGCTCGGTGTTGCTTCGTGTTGACTTGTTTGGTTGCTTCCCCTTTGCGGTTATACTCTCACTCCACACTCTGCTGATCACCGGGCAGGCCTACGCTGTCCTCACTTGTTACCTGGGCACACTCGGCTACTAGGTGTGTCATCAACCTTCAAAATTTTTATTTATTTATTTATTTTTGTTTTAGAGTATGAGAAACCTCCTCAAGGTCTTCACAGGCCTCTCTTAGACTGGAGCATACAACTGATACACCACTATAACACCTTTGCACACAGGTTATTTATTCATTTTTTTTGTTATGACAAGTCAGCGTTCAATTCTCTATTTTCACCAAATCTCGGAGTACATAACCGAGTGGTACTTACGCTCTGTGCAGGAATATGAACAAACTCACCAAATTACAAGCTTAGGTGCAGAATAATAGAACTAGTTACACAGTCACCACTCTGATCATATTCCTTGTGGCCGGCACAGCGTCACACACTCGTCTGGCAGTGGCACCCGCCTGAAGGCTTCTTCTTGATGAACCACAGTTGGCACTCTAAATCTTTACGCTAATTTTTGAACCAATACGATTCTTCGCCGCCAAAGCTTCAAATTAAAAGAAGGCGCGAATGCCACCATAGGCTAAATTCTCAACACTCATAATCACGAGACGTCTTCTGTCTCTGTCAGCCCCGGAATCTGCAAACATCTCAATTCACGCGGTCGAAGACAGCCTTCTGAATGCAACTTGGACTTATGGGCCATGCTTTACAAATCCAGTACAATTATTGCTTTAAGGTGGCAAACAAAATGGCCACAGGATATACAAGTTTTTAAGCACCTTGATCATGAGAAAGCAGTTTGTGGAATGCCATCTCTGTATATATGCATGTGTGCTTCACTAGTGCATGACCAATTGGACAGATTTTATTCATGTTTGGCACTGAAGAGTTTGTTTATCATAGGTCACAGCCTGGTAAATCTAGACATTACGTCTCCAGAAACAAGGCACTTCAGATGGGTCCGAAAACACGAAAGGGCTGACTCTAATGATGTTGATTAAATTTCAGTAGCTTATGGAGACCATCTCCTTAAAGAAATCTCTATGTGCGCATGTGCGTGTGTGTACGCATGTGTATATGTGTTCACATGGGCATACATGTGTGTGGTATCGTCACGAAAGTAATGGTACGTGCATTTGCAGTCCAGACCTGAAATGTCAGCTTTCTCAAAACTAACTTTAGTGTATCATTAGTGTTAATTATTCAGATACCAGCAATTCTTAATTTTTTTCTGAGAAACAGTCCATTTCATTCCTAACAACATAGGCTAGGTCAGTCATAGATGAGGTATATTTCATTGCTCTGGAGGCATAGGTTCTTGGATCACTCATGAGTGAAGTTTGTCACCACTAGCAGAATTGTGTCTAAGGAATCGGCAGGAGTTAAGCTGCAGCCATGCTTCACAGCTCCTTCAGAATTCTGTGGGGCTTTAAGCATGTGGCTCACCCTGTAAATGCAGCTTGCAGGAACATTGAAGTCTGTATGCTGACTTTCATGACCATCCTTGTGAATTTGGGTCAAAGCAAATGCCACTCATCACCTTCAGTTAGTAAGTGCACATCTGCACACAGAGAAGGCATGGTGAGACTTTATGCTTCTCCCTACAAGTTTACTGTGATTGACTTTAATAGATCTTGGTTATAGGGTTGCAGTGAATTAAGGAATAGAGACAAAGCAGTGTTTCTCAGCCTGTAACATGTGGTGACCCTTTATTTTGGGCAAACTGGGTTCTGAGGCTACATTTGAGTGAGCAGCACATTAGGCAAATGTTTGTTTCTTCAACTTAGAGAACATGTTAATAAAGTAAAGCTATTTTTGTACCAGGCCATGAAGGCCAATAGGGTTGTGAGACGTTTAGGGTCCCACGTTATCTAGACAATCGGCTCAAAGATGGCGGTAAGGTTGTCAGCCTTACGTGCAGGCCACGCTTTACTCCCCAGAAAAATTATTTAATTAATTCCTGGTACTCATATCTGTTAGAGGCTGAGTCGACCCCAGGGCCGTAGTGCAGCTGGAAGGATTAGGTCAATTGAAAAAAATCCCATGACCTCATCAGGACTTGCACCCGCAACCTTCCCATATATAATAACTGAAAAAGAAAAGTCATGCTGTCCTTTCCAGTTCAATTTCCAGTTCGTATGGTTTCCTACATCTAGTGTTATCATGTGTAAGAGTTAAAGTTTGATGCATAAAGGTGTAAAGTGGCCTGGACATGTTGTTGTTGTTATTAGGTAGGTGGTGAATATAAGTTCCCCCCCCCCTTTGGCACTACAGCCCCAGTGGGCCTAGGCCTACCTCCATGAACTTCTCTGTTCACTTCGGTTTTTCTAGATCTTACACGTTCGGTAGGACTCCTTGGGCGGGTGATCAGCTCGTCGCAAGGCCTCTACCTGTACACACACACCAAACATCCATGCCTTGAGTGGGATTCGAACCCATGATCCTAGTTTCCAAGCGAGCAAAGACAGTACATGCCTTAGACCGCTCGGCTACCGTGACTGGCGAATGTAAGTTTAGCATAAGAGTTGTGATGGATTGACCATGTTATTACCTGTAGATACTGAGTGCATGGTCTTCCATTGCCACAATGTGAAAGGTGCAAATGAGAGGAGACAAACTGACAACAGAAAGGAATTATGTTCATGCAAGTAGGTAGCAAATTGTCATGGACATGAGACTGGATAGGGATGTATTTGGCATAAAGGGAAAGTTAGGGGAGGTGTTGAAATCGCATTGTGACAAATGTGGGTAGATTGCAGTAAGAATGATGTATAAAATGGGAATGAATTCTTACCAGTGATTGGAGAGTTCTTATATGCTTAGAAGAAGAAGCAGAAAGGCATGTACTGAATTTGTGTGGGATATTTGAAATGAAAAGGTAAGTGCAAATATATTTGTTGATTATGAATGAAATTAAGACCATGAAAGATTTAAGACCTTTGATGTTGAGGGCAGGGCTTAGAGATAAAAGAGTAGTGGCTGGAATTGTTGGACCTAACTGGGGAAGTGATAAAACTTGCTTAGAAATTCAGTGTGAATATAGGTTTCGTGGATTAACGATGAGAAGTTATTAAGCATGGAAATATTGCAAAGAGATAATGTGCAGTAAACTTCACAAGGCATTTTTAAGGGGGAAGTCATGAAGCCACTGTTGGCTGCATCCCATTGTGGAAGATATGAATATGAGTTGAATGTGCTGGAGGAGGGATAATATGCAGTAAATTTTTGAAGGAATTTTTTCTTGAGGGGCTAATCGTGAATCTGTTAGTGGATGTATTCCATTGCTGGAGATTTGAATATGGTCAGAGAAACGATTATATGCGGTAAATTTTTGAAGAAATTTGGCGGGGTGGAAGTCATAAGGTTGTTGGTGGGTGCATTGCATTGGGGAAGTTTGGAATAAGAGTACATTGTGGTGGGAGAAACGATAATATGCGGTAAATATGAAGGATTTTTTTTTTTGGTTTTGGGGTGGGGATACATTGGGGAAGATTTAAATGTGAGTTAATGTGGTGGGAGAAACTATAATATGTTGTAAATGTATGTAGGATTTTAGCCTTACAAATGTACCTTCGTTGTTATTATAACTCCAAGAACCTGAGTAATTCTTGAGAAGCTAATAGTTGTTCACCTTCTCAATAAATTATCATCATTGTTTTATAGACCCTGAAGATTCATTACCGTGTTTACAAAAGCCTGACATTGTTCCCTGTCCTGAGCCACATGAATTCAAACTACACTCTTCTATCCTGTTTCTGTAAAATCCTTTTCAATATTATCCTCCAATCTATATTTACGTCTTCTTAGTACTCCTTATCCTTCAGGTTTACCCATCGAAGTTTTGTATGAAATTTCATGTTCTCTCATATCTGCCACATGGTTTTCCTATGAGGTGTTCCGTTATTTGATACGTGTATTTATAATGTTTAGCGAGATCCTGACATTACGAAGGTCCTCATGCAATCTTCAGCTACTTCAATATCCTTAGGTACACAGCACGAAGTTCTCAAATGTCCTCGGTTTATATTCTTAACTTGTTATGACAGATCAAGTTCCATAGAGTACGCAACTACAAATAAAATTGTAACTTTCTGTGTTTTAATCATTACGACTTTAGATAGCAGAAGAGACTACCAGAAATAGTAGCAAGCATTTCCCCGAAATTAATCTGCGTCCATTCTCTTGAGAAACATAATTTT